CGCCTTCAACCTCCCTACCCTTACCCCTGCACCCACCACATCAACCCCTCCCCCCCTCCTCGTTGCACCCTCCCCATACCCACTCCCAATAACCCGCCTTCAACCTCCCTACCCTTACCCCTGCACCCACTACCTCAACCCCTTCACCCCGCCCCCACCCCGGCCAGCAGCAGACAGATTGAACTATGTGAGGAGAGAGAGCTCCAGTTCTCCTTCCTCTTCGTCGTGACCTTTGTCTTGCAAGGTTTGACCCCGTTTCTGATGGGCCGATTGCACATTGGGGTTGGAACCCGGATCGCCAGGCTCATATCCACGTACGTTTTTATGTTGTCCTCACTTTAAGCGACTCTTGTTTAGTAAGAGTTTTACGGCACTTACAACAGTTGGGTTTTTTTCAGTTTTAGTAGAGGTTTTACGGCGCCCGCGACAGCATAAGGTCATTTCAGCGCCAGAAGATTAGAGGTGTTACAAGAGAGTAACAAACATAAAAAAGAAGAAGAAGAGATAAGGACGATAGATGTTTGATAGGAAAGAAGAAGTAAACCACACCAGAGTACCCGCCAACCACCCACTTACTTCACAACAAGGTCATATAAGTGCCAAAGATTTAAAGTGTTACAAAAGAGTAACAAACACAATAACGGCTGAGAGATAAGGACAATTATAGATGGTTGATCGGAAAGAAGGAGCACACTGCACCAGAATACCCGCCAACCGCCGAGGAAGCGACCCTGATTTCTCATTCGTTCATACGCCATAGTGGATCGGGTGGGAGGAACAGATGGGTTGGTTAAATCTTCATTCATTTATCAAATCTTTTGTTAGTTAATTCATTTCTTTTCTTCTTTCATCCACTCATCTGTTCATTTGTTACTTGTCACATGAAACGATATTTCGTTCTCATAAATGTATTCTTATGAATTCATCCAGGTATATTTCACATTTCTATTCATTCATTCAATCATCTGTTCAATTTATTCATTTTTTATACTTTCATTTCAGGTAACTATAAAATATTTCTATTTTTCACCAATTTATGTATAAGATGTTTAATTGATTTGTTCCTCCCTAGAAAAGCACAATTTATTCCATCTCCTTTACTTATGCTGTGTATAGTTCCAATAACTAACTACAAAAACGAGTGTCACATTCATGTAACTTAGTTCCTGGATTGACTAATAACTCTTTGCTCGATTGACTGATTGACTCGTTGATCAGGTTACTAATTTGTTCGATTTTTTTCATTAATTCGCTGACGGATGTATGGATGGAGTCGATTGATGGATTGATTCATTGATTCATTGATTCATTCATTCATTCATTCATTCATTCACTTATTCATTGGCCGGTTGGTTGGTCGGTGGATTGGTTGGTTGTTGGTTGATTGGTTGGTTGGTTGGTTGGTTGGTTGGTCGATTGGTTGGTTGGTTGGTTGGTTGGT